CCATGAAGAGGGTAATCTAATAATCACAATGCTTTAGAATGGGCATAGATGGTGTGGTAGCAAGCGACCCGTTCTCTCGCTCTGAGTTCTAACTTTGGATCATTTTTCTCCCAAGCTAACTAAGTCTTCCACCACTACGGAGCAGTGAATCCTTACCTGAGTTGCTCTCATAGTTATTCTTACTACAAAGGAACAAGAACATATACATGTTCATTGCGTGGCGCATCCCAAAAAGTGCATTGGAGGCTTTCATCTTGATTTGTAACGCCTAACTTCGGAATACGATAAGATTCCCACTATGGTAGGCGGTTGCTCCTTCCGAATTATTATAGTTTTGGCACTGTTTTCTTAGTAGTTTCATGGTTACCCGCAGGGCCCAGCATTTCCATTATTTTGTGCCTCGAGAGTCAGCATCTGTTCTGACAGGGCTGGAGGTTGAGGGTCATGGAGCCCACACTCGAAGCAGCTTGTTGCATGTTGCAAAGAATTGCGTGGACCATAGAAAGGGATATTATTTCCGCTGCTGGTTCCAGGAACGTCAACAAGGGGAGAAAAAAAGTTTCACGAGTCCGTCAAGGCTCACGGCTATAGTAGGCTTTTGTTTCTTGGGCGAAAGGTATGAGTGTTTTGAACACGCCTTTGTTCGGACAGAAGGTTCCAACTTGTATGAGCGCATGAACATGAAAATCGGAAGGGTTGGAAGAATCTGGAAGAATGCAGAATTTTGTCATCCAAAGGAATCGAAATACCAGCTTTCTTTGACGTTCCCAGGTACATGCAGTGAAAATAAACTACTTTTCTAAGGTCCTCGCCCGAGCCCGTGCAACATGCGAGAAACCGTTTCAGAATCGGGCTCCACGACCTGGAAGTCTCCCCATGAGTGCAGTGAACGGAGTTTTTGAAAGATTTCTCAAAATGATAGACATAATCTAACCATTTGAGTTTGTTGGACGTCGATTTTGATACGAACATTCACAGGCTGTCCTGGAGGATAAGAACGATTTGGTACGAGCAGTGATTTGGGAATGTTGGCGACAGTGAAACCAAAGCAGATGAGGATCAGAATCATGATGAGGGCATGTTCGGAGTTCACCATCGATGTTTATTATTACTATCCGATCGAAACCCAATACGCTTCTATCGTCATCGCCGAAATTCGTCAACAAATCATCACGAGGCGATAATCAGGATGTCATCAAGGGAGTCTGACCTGGTGATCCTCATATATACGGGGGGGCGGGGGGGGGGCCAAAAAAAGTCATTCCGGCCGAGTCACATATGAGCGAAGTTTTCGCAGCCCAGAGGAAGTGGATATGAGTACCAGGGCGGAAGATACCCAAGATCTTCCTCTATAAGCAGGAGCCGGCTGCCGCCATTCACCTTCATGTACACCAAAATATGAAGTCATCTCCAGTCGCGGCCTGAGTGGAGAACGCCTTTGGAATTCACGTGGCCTCCAAACAGCAAGCTGCGGCAACTTCCGGCTTTGAATGGAATCACCCATGGATAGCTACCTGGAGACCAGTACTCTTGATCTGCAAGACCTCAAACATCGAGCAGCTCCGGCAACGTCGCTACGGTCCAGGACATCATCTTCACCCCATTCACCAAGGCGCGGGTTGATGGTGTGGACCGGCCGTACCTGGAATGGATGAACCGATATTTTCTTCGTGGGCCCCAGACTGAGGGTGTGCGCTGGTGGCTACATCGAGCAACTCGAGGAGAATATCCCATCTTCATGTCGTCGCCCGTACCTTCTTGGAAACTTTGTACTGCTACAGGATTGGGTGACAACACATTTAATCGAAGGGCGTTGGAAAAACTTTCGCCTACTTGGAATGGAAGAACGTTGAGTACCTGGAAAAGATGGAGTATTAAGCGCCGGGGGTCCCTGAACTAAACCCCTCAATTACTCGGTTCGGGCGGAGCTCAACAGGGTGGTCTACAGTGGCGGAGAAATCAACGATCTCGCTCAACTCCGGTACCCACTCACTTTCGCGCGGCCGAATCTCTCGATGGCGCTCCTCCAGAAGGCTGTGGCGGAGTATCACTATAGTATTTAATGTGCTCTTTAATATGGTAGTAAAAATGTCCGATAAAAATTTAATAAAGTGTAACTTATAGCGCCTTGAAAGTCATGGAGGCAAAATGACTTTTTTTTGGCCCCCCCTGTATGTCTTCATGACTGTCTTTGACTTAGGAATGTTGCCCTCAGTATAACTACCTTGTGCCTTTGCCCACAATTTGTTGTGCTAGTAGAAAAATCTAAAGAGAACCAAAAATTAAAGGCGCTCGCAGAAGCGAGCAGCCCTGGTCATAAGGCAATCGGAGCCAAGTGAGCCAAAATCTCAAGGGATGGCCGCTTCGTTCACACTGGAGTTGAAATGCCTCCTCAGTGATCAAATCTTAAAGGGTCTTATAAACAATCAAGTTATATTTTTACAGTCGTCATCCTTGCACTTGATAGTCAATGTCAGTGCGGCTGCGTGCGGCGCGGTCGTCAGCACCCGTACTGCACCAATCGTTGAACCAGAGAGTGACATTACTGTATTATATCCTTCGTGTTACTCGTTTTCTATCACTTTTTGTCGCATACGCGTTTCAACGAAAAGGCTGAGAAGGCTTCAAACAGTGTGCACGCTCCTTCTCGCCGACACGCCCCTATCAAGTGCAAGGATGACGACTGTATACTCTATAACAGCACAGAAAAGAATCGCGCATCCTTATTCGCTGCAGACACTGGAGCGCGTCAGGGGGGTTGCATTTCGCGCGGCACCAGCAAATATTCAACCAACTGTGCTCGCTTCCACAGTTGGTGGAGTAAGAGCTGAGACCGTGCAAAAGCCAGCCCCCTGTAACACGCCCTAGCATCCATATCCGAACGAGGTTCTTTACGAAAGTTGGCTCGATCATCTGTGCCATCTGTGCGCCTTGCCTTTTAAGACAACTCCCGCGTTCAAGTAGTACATGGTCGTCCTTCCTTGTGCAAGTAGTACAGCCCCAAGCTAGAGACTGTCCCACTCTCGCAACTCCACAGCGAGCGATTAGCGAGCTACAGCCGCTGAAAGTTCTAGTTCTAACGCCCGCCCAGTTGGACCGCCCACTTGCTAGATGCCCTCTGACGGAGGGCCGCTCAGTTGTTCTTTGTTGGGGCGGCGGGCATTAATCGGAATCGCATGCCCTTTTTGCTGACCGCGCTCGTGCTCATGAATGATTCTGCTCTCCTTTATTACATTTTATTCATTAGGGGCATATACATTCAACTCAACCCGTTTCGCAAGGTGAAACGCGTAAAAATCACGAGTGACGCAATTTTCGTGTGCAAAAGCTCGACGCACTTCAGTACACTAAAATGTGCGCTACCGTAACCCAAAATTCGGACACCGAGTTTTTAAAATTTCTTTTTCCTTCCAAGAGTTTTTCCTCTGCGTTTTTGTTGTTTTTTGTATTCTTTTTTTGCACTGGATGATATCAACTACTGCGAGATGTGATAGAGAGATTTGTGAGCTAGGGGTTGCACAGAGACCGCAGGGAGGTGTGACTGTGAGGGAGCGATTTTGTTTGTTGTTCTGGAGGACTCTTCTTGCTTTTTCTTCTTTGGGAGATTACTTATCAGCTACTGTTTCATAATTGAAAAGCAACTATCCATGACACTTTTATCGCGAGGAGCTGTCTTTAAGGTGGTCTTCGAGACAGTTCTCTGCTTATTTCACAGATAGCTCTACTTCCGCGTTTACTTTCAGAACTGAGAGATTTAGTGTGGACTGCAAAGGGGAACTTTGTACATTGTAAGCAAAAACTTGTAAGCAAGAGTCATTAGAGGCACAGCTGTACAGGATGAAATGTAGATGCCAGGGTGCCAGGAAACTCACACCAGAAAACCCAAAGTAAAGAAGAGAGCAGAAAAAACCTTGAAATATGCTCAGGAAGAAACTCCCTTCAAAGCAAGGTTATACGGTACTGACACTAGAGAGAGGGCGTGGTTGGACGACTTTACCGGGTAATGGTGCTGTGGTGATTTATGTTGTCTGGTCTTAGCTAATAGAATTCCTTGCTTACGTTCCCTACTGGGTATTGGTCACTTCCCGAATACTCCTACATATGAATAGGTCTGTGGCCTGTGAGAAAAACTACAGCATGAGTGCCCTTGTCTTTCGTTTTTGCGCCGCGAAAGCGCACTTACACTGATACGTGTTGGGACCAGACTACTTTTAAGGGGAGAAAGATGTACCAGTTCTAAGGAGTAGACGTTTTTAGTTGGTCGAGAACGTTCCGGTGACGCGCAAATTTGCTCAAGATTATCGCCCACGTTGTTACCCTTCGTTTGTGTGGAGGCTGGGGAATCTCTGCGAAAACGGTCGAACCACACAGGAAGCTTTTACTGCTAAAAATCTTTATTGCTTACAAAAAAAGTCGGCAACCCGAATGAGCAAATCGATAAACATCCAGGCACAAAGAGTACATCGAAATGCTATAAAATAAAGGAAAACAAATAATTTATCATCATGACACATTTCAATGGTATACGGGTAGATTCAAGTATCATTGCATCGCATGAGTTTTCCAAGCATTGCTATTTTTCCAAGAACGTCCTGGTTTTCTGGAAATAAACAGTTATGGGAACACATCTGAGCAAGCTCATCGCGGACCATTTCAATTTTTGTTTTCTTCTTTTGAAAATGCAGCAAGAGTTACATAATAATGATTCGCATTAAATTAGAGAGAGGCTCGATTGTCGAAGACACATTCCGCTGTAAATCGATATGCGGAAAATCACGAACACTATGCCTCCCTCATTGATGTGCCCTCTCGTAATACGACAAAGGAAGGGGCGCACCAATGAGGGAGGCGCGATAGTCGTAAGGCTCCGCCCATTCAATTATCGCGAAGTATCTCTAATGGAGAGGGATTAACAAGTTTTAACTCAACAAAGGCTCATCTTCAATTTGGAGCGACCATGAGTAGAAAGAAATCGCGTATAAAATCCACCTTTCTAATGGTCAAACATGCGGCGATCTTTCAGCACTGTCTTCTACCAAACCCTGCGTGGCGGCTTGCGTCTCATCATCGCCCATATGTCGAGCCTTAAAAAGGAATGATTATTCAACCAGGAATTAAGGGAATTAGTAGAGAAAAGATTCGGTTCTATTAATTGCGCTTTAGTAGTGATATCCTTAAATTTATTATAGTAATCGCGAAACCTCGGATATTTTCGGGATTGATGGCGCATACGGTGAGGGATAAGTGGAATGGAAAGCTGACGAGTGACTGGAGTCCGAACCTGAAATATCCTCAGTGAAGAAACAGGAATGGAAAAGGAAGGAACAAAAAGGAAGTGTTGAGGAATGGTTGGGTAACAACTTCTCTCTATTTCATGCGTAAGAGGGGGTGGGTTTGGAAGGGGTAGAGGGGATAGATAGGGTAGTCGTCATTTTGTACTATGCTTTTGTAAACCAGAACTCTGGTAAAAATCACAAAAAGGTCAATGCGACTATATTCCGTCTAATGTAGGTTTTTTGACTAGCTGTGCACCTTACCGCAGGCTAGAGAGGCTCGACTAAAAGAAGACTAGACGGAATCGCCAGTCAGGGGATTAGTAATAAAGACAGTACGTAAGAACCATCTACGCGGTAAACGATAGAGGTTTATAACTTTAAGAAAACAGGCGGCATACAGTGCCCCCAAAAGAGGGCTTGAAATTGATTGTCGTGCCTCATAACGCACACAGGTGGGCGTAAGGCTGAGGGAGGAAGCTTCGGAGTAAGGCTGGGAAGCTGGAGCGACACAAACAAATTCCGCTTTCCGCTCCTATCGTGGCACTACTTAGACGAAGATTGGGGGGGGCGTGTACACCTGGTGCTCCCACGCACTCCATTTTACGCGTAGTTTAGGATACTGTAACCCGCCTACTTCGTTTAATTCAGAATTAGATGGAAAAGATAGGGCGTTTGACGGGGCGCTGCAGCCGAGTAGCCTTTTCCACAAGGGAGGACGTGACTGCGCTATACTCCACTCCCCTTGACGGTCACATCGCTTACAAGGATCATGATTGTACATAATATTCAGATTCTGCGATCATCGTCTAGGAGGGTGCAGACAGTGCAACTCACAATCGTAGTGCCCACCTTATCGTTATGCTCCTCATTCTTAAACGATAAAGAAGAGGAAAGCATCAAGCAGGGAAGAGCAATAGACCGTCTGACCCACCCAGGGGGATACATGAATTTCAGAATGCAGAATGCGACGTGACTGAAAGCTGCCGCCCCCTGGGCGAAGGCCTATGCCTTCTTGCTTAGACGGACGGCCAACTCGTGGAGGTATTATTAACAAACAATAAAGCTAACGAAATTGTCAAGCAATAAAAGATACCTGACGTGCCAAGGCCACCGGAAGTTTGCCATGAGGAGGAATATCCGTTCATTTGAGGATAACTACTATCTATTTGATTGGAGAAACCGATTGAACTGAATGCTGGCTGATATGCACCTGTACCTGAAACTGTGTACTTTCGTGAAAATTATTGTTACTAGTAATGCTATACTCTCACTTCGATCCGGAATCGCTTGGGTCGATTGGGTGTAATTACTGGATCGATCACGCTTCTTACCAGCACTCGTTCCATCCGACTTTGCTTTTCGTTTCCTTGAATTCGTGATTGTAAGTTGCATATATTACACATATAGTCACACTTATATCCGGTTAGTTTTGACTGGTAATTGCACTGTGATGAGACCTCACCTCGTCTGCAGTTGACCGTCCTTTTTCATTGTTGGTGGCCGTTGGACGTTGTGAAGCTTGTAGTAGAGACCGCAAGCGCTGAAATAAGGGCAGTTCCCTATCAGATCCAAATATTATAAAAGGCTCGCATAATGGAGACATTTTCGAGAAAATGATATATTTTTGAATGTTTAGACACACTTGCACACGGGCTCTCCTTCGGCATTTCTCCTCCACAATGTTGTGTTCGTTCCACCGCAATTCGAACAAACCAGTCCTTGCCTCCTCTGCGAATTTTGCTGAACATGAAAGTACATATAGAGGGTTATCTGCCCATTATGTTATTGAGATAATTGGATCAACAGTATTCCAAGAGAATTGGCCCTTGACGTTGGCGGCGTATGTCCCAGCGATGTACAGTCCTCATCATTGCGGACCGGTGGGGTGTGGCAGTGCGGCTGCGTTTGGTGCGGTTTGGCAAAATCGTTCTGCACCAGTTTTTGAAGCGGGCAAGTGCATTACTGTATTATTCCTTCGTATTACTCGTTTTCTACCACTTTTTGTCGCATACGCGTTGCAACAAAAAAGGCTGAGAACGGCTCCAACAATGTGCGCGCTCCTTCTGGCTGACACGCCCCACCGGTCTGCAATGATGAGGGCTGTACTTGGCATGATCGCACTACTGCGCGGGCGTGTTTTATATGTCGCCGTGACGCACGCTTTGTGCACGGAGCGAGATGAGCGCAAACGGCTGAGCATCTAATCATAGCCCCCGGGGTGAATTTTGAAGTATGTGGCATTTTGACCCACTGCACTTCTTATGGAAAAACTAGTAACTTACAGCTGCGGATGGCTTTTTATGCGAGGAGCTGCCTCTCGTTTTGGACACGGGCATCGCTTCGACGCTGTGCCGGGGCTCCATCGATGTGGGAGGATATAACTGGAAAACCTTTCCTTCCATTTTCACTTATTCTACGTTTGATATCAGTGTGTGGCTGTACATAAACTCTTACAGTATATGTTGGTTTGTCCATTCCAAGATAGCAATTATCACACACATATCCACCGGTTATTGAGTGATTGTCGCCACAGGACTCGCCACATTTTAGGCATTCTAATGATGGTGCAGGCGGAAAGTAGTGCTGAAATGATAACGATATTTCGTCTAGTGCTTGTACAGTCACGATCCCTACAAATGATAGGGCGTGTTTTTGAGCGCAACTAGAGCGGCCTTTCTGCACCAATGATGCCATCTTGAGCCCGCTACATCTAGTGGTGAACCTGCACTAGCTCGCTTGAAGCCACGTTTTATCACGCTCTATGGGTTAAGACTGTATTCCAATGCCGCAGTATCGACCAGCGTTGAAGTATCCGGGAGATGATGGGAGGGCGTGGCTGCAAACCTAATCTGAATATAGCGCAGGATGAACCTTTCGTGAGATGTTCTTTTGTGACAACCATTTGCAATTATCGCACTATGCAAAGCGGCGAGTACAATTGTTCCACAACGGTACATCCTACTAAATCGTAGCCGCCGCCAAGTTCAAAATACGCAAGTATGGAGCACGTGGACACGCCCTCTCCAGCTCTGAGATGAAAGCTGTACGTGACTCCGTTGCAGCTCGATCGTCAAATGCGGCCAGTGAGGGATTTTGCCGCCGAATGAGCCATTGCTACCACAGTCCATTGTAGGGGGTTCTTAGCCCATTGTAGGAGCACTCCTTTTCCCCATGATGAGGACTTGTGCCCCAGATTCACCAAATACGCCAAGCGGATGAGCTATTGTGGTGAAACGTACACCAGGCAGGCAGCTAGCAACCATTCTCCGATCCGCAAAATCCCTCTCCTCTGCAGCCTCATCGACCAGTGGTACAGAAAGGGAGTAACATCGTAGCTGAGGGAACAGGTATCGGATGTGTGACTAGGTCGCTTCCTCTGCGCTCCGTACGATCACTGGTCGTCTGCGCTCTGGATCTGCAGAGGGAATGGGTTTGCTCCCTTCATGAGAGGGCTCAGAGAAGCGGAGCTAGCCGCGCTGCTGCATATGGCCACTCTCAACCACAGTGGCGTCATAAATCGAAGCACCGACCTTAAAAGGATAAACCTTAGAAAAATACCTGATTGAGATCAAATGTATTATTCGTGGTATCTACGTAGTGAGTGGTCGTGGAAGGATATGGATGAAAAATGATATTTCTGAAATACTACAATAAAGTGCGAAGTTAAATTATCGTAGGTATCACATATGAAGATACGAACCCATTGATAGCAGAAGACTGAGCCGGCTGGAAATTGAGATTTGGTTGTTGATAACTATATATGTAATTATTTGTATATGACGGTTATTCCCATACCAGTTATGCTTTCAACACTGTACGGAGACAACGTTTCGAGTGGTGGAGGAGGATATCCTGAAAATTTAATCGCTATATTTCAGCCTATTTCCTCTGTACACTACATATCACATTGCTGAAAGAGGCGGGTTGAAGTTAAGTGCGCAGCTGCATTGCGGTCAGGAAATGGAAGAAGAAAGGGAAGTTGGAAGATACTGGAAAAACAAAAAAAAATGATGGAGAAGACATGCTCATCAATTTAAGTGGGGAAAAGAAGTTAAAAGTGTTAGCACACAGGAGGCCTCAACGGAGCGTTGTTTGACAGGTATTAGGAGCCGTTTGGCAACCGCACGCGTCTCTGATACTACTTCTCACCTATATCTCAGAACCTGCATTTCACATGAATCACTCACCAGAAATAATAGAATAATTTGGCCGGATATCAACTGCTGCTGGTTGTGGCTCGATGACGACTGACTGCCGAAAAGAAGGCGGTAGATCGGGCTCCACTTTCACTGAAAACACAATAACTTTCCTTAATTGATAACCCAAGGTGATAATGTTAAGGTTACTGTATACGTATTAAAAAAATAAAAACTAAATGACGATGTCTTTAAGGCCGCTTTCGAACCTTACCGTGTTCCATGATGAGGCCAGAAAACGAGGAAGGCTCTTTATGCTCTCTGCAACCACATGGGCGAAAACTGATTGGTACTGTATGCCTCCGCTGTTCCTGCGCACTCACTTTCACTTTCAGTTCGGGGTACTATTTCCATGTTTTCCAAACTTATACTCCAACGATTGGTATTGATCGACTCCGTACGTTCACAAGATCTCTGTTAGATCCTTGTTAGATTACCTGTTAGATCTCGAGAGAGTATAGGACAATAGTATGGAAGGCATCGCCTAATCATGCAGCTTGGTATCGATCGGCGCCGGTCGCTAGTGGTCTGGGAGAGTATAGGAGAATAGGAGGATAGGCGTCGCCTAATCATGCAGCCTGGTATCGAGCGGCGCCGGTCTCTAGTGGTCTGGGAGAGTATAGAAGAATAGAATAGTACCAGATGTGTTAATGCAGCGTCTAGCCTTCTTCTCCTGTTATTTCAAAATATCAGGGGCCGCCGAAAACGCCCTGAGTGGGGGCACCCATTTGCGAGCGAAAGGTGCAAGTTTGGAGAATGGCAGCGAGAGGGTGTAAAACGAGCGAAACGATGGACAGCTACGCGGGATGGGTTCGCCCGTGCTCTTTGGTGGAGTCGCATGAGCAACCGTGTGTCTTAAAGCCCCCACCTTGCCGTTAATGCGCCCCACCAAGTACAGCTTTACAATGTACTCTAATGCAATGGTAAGACCACCCGCGAATGGTCGAGGGCACCCTAGCAACTAACTCCATTTCCACTGCTGCGAAATTATGAGGTAAGTGGGATACTATTAGAATTCGGAACTGTAAAAAACTTGTAGGCGATCGTTACTTTCTAATCAGAGGAAAAGCCCAAAACAGTATCAAAGTGTGCCTCTTTTATATTAGATCATGATTTTCTTTTTATTTATTTCTGAGCTCTGTATTCATGGCAGTTTTGGCGCTGATAACATTCAAGTGGGGGGGGGGCATTTGAAGGACTCTTGATGCCGAACTGGTGATTTGAATGGCAGTAGCCCTGTTTCTGCCTCAAGGAGTCCTTTAATCCTCCCCCACAACGTTATTTGCGCTCCATTTCTCCTACAAGAATGTAATTTTGCTCAGTTCACTTACTCTTACCTTTTATGAATCCTCCAGCTGAATTCATAGTGAAGGAAGTTTCAAGAAATTTCTATACACTGGCCCGATTTTCTGGAAATTGTGCCGTTGGCCAGATGTCCTGTCGAAACTGGTCTCATTACAGCTTGCCAAATGAGGGTGAGGCAAGTAGATCAACGGAACTCGTGAGGGATACAGGAGGCCGACTGGCCGAAGGATTAGTTGACGAAGAGGCATTTCATGGAAGAAGAGTACACACAATTAGAGCAAGAAGTTCCGCGAAATGTAGATCAAAAGGCACAGTGCAAAAAACGAAGGACTGATTTCTGATATCGAAAAACTCTGTAGCTGTGGTACGGTAATTCAGATTTGGTGCAGAGCAGAAGAATAGCTGGAAGTGAAACGAGGAGCGAAATCAGAAGGAGAAAACAGATAAGAAAACCAAGACAAAGTTCGAAGACCCCTTGAAGGGACAAAACCCGATGGTGGCTCAGACACTTGTGGAATGCCTTGCTTAGTACTATTACCGTAACGGAGAGTAGAAAAGCGGCTCTCATGCTTAGCCCTTATTCAAACCGTCACAACTGCGAGTGCTAGCGATGACATCTTGTCGGACGATGCTTCTTATCAGTTACAGTGTTATTGATTGGGCCAAAATTCGGGTTAACTGGGCTAAAGCTACATACTCGCTGAGGTTACCAGCTCTTCCTAATATGTTCAGATAGCTGCCCAGACAGACAGTCATGGGTTACGAAAGGGAACTATGAAGTTCCCTCTTGCTTGAAGCATTCGCATGGGGCTTTTTGGATGCGTACTCTTTATTACTACCAGTACTGTATTAATTAGCAGCTGTCATCACCTACTAGGCTAATGAGCGGTCCCAAACGGTTTTTCACCGCTGTGAGTCAACTGTTGCTCCTTGTACTCAAAAAAAGGAATTTCTGTAAAAACACTGGTAAGCCCGATTTGGTGGGCTATCCGCTCGAATAGCAGGTTTTAAACTGCCCACCAAAATAAATATTTGAATAATAGAAACGCACTGCGAGTTAATTGTTGCACATCTTTTTCTTCTTTTTCAGCTGGCTGCGTGGGAAGTTGAAGGGTCATCCGAGGTCTGTCTGAGGTTGTCCATGCTGAAGGATAGGCCAACGGCTGAGTTTCGTGGGAATTCTCCATCTGAATACAGTAGCTCCTTCACAATCAAAAACTTCATACTTCTTTCACGAGTTCGTCAAAGAGTAGTAAAAGTGACTGAAACGGAAAAAAATAACGATAAGATAATGAAACTCTAGGTGGCCTGCCTGTAAATCATTGCTCACCATGAGGTTTATTTTCAAGCACCACTATAAGCCGAGTAAACAAATTTAGAAGGTCAACTAATAAATAAAGGAACATTGACAAGGTGGGCACTGCACCCCTATTGTTTATGTACCTCTAAAAGTGGGCGTGGCCCAAGGTGACGATTCCACCATTTAAAACCGTCGAGTGGCGCCAGTATACGGTACGAATAACGCGTTCAATAATACGATGTCTTCGTATTGATCCATGTAGATCATTCGAAACTCATAGAGGAATTTGCCAATAAGCGGCAAATGTCACGCAGCACCTTGCTAAGGTGTAAACGACTTTGATTGTTGTAGATAAATTTATCAGTCTGAAGCTATCAGGACCAGCGAGGTATAAGGCCTTTAGGTATGATAACCTATCAGTGTCAGTTTTCAATTTTATTCGTCAATCAAGGAGCTGATTTACTGTTCTGACCATCCCTTCATCATTGTTGCGTTTTCACTAAAGTAGTAATATTTGGAGTAATTGAAAGTTATATTTACTTGAACATTTGTTCACAAGTACTATCAATTCTCTCTGAACTAACGCTAGCACCGTTTGCAATCTTAGCTAATTTTATGCAAAGTTAAATCTACGAAAATTCGCCTCCTAATGACACCTACCTCTATCGCCTTGA